CAGCTAATCCTACTTTTGTGCATTTACTCACAGTCATAAATTAAGATTGTGGTTAGAGTTCTAGTGTTCTAGGGCCGTGATGCGCAAACTGTGGGGCGCCCTCCTCCCAAGGGGACACGAAAATTCGGTGTGGGGAACGCAACTATGACTATAGATCATACATTAAGATTGTGGTTATTAATATCTCCAGTTTTCTAGAGAAATGTCCATTCTTTTTTTTCTTCTTGTTAATGAAACTAATTCACTCAATAACTATTATTTACACTTCAAAATCTTGCTTTATAAATACAATACTGGATAGAACGCTGAATTTCAAGGTATAAAAAGAAAGGTAAAATGTCTCAATATTAAAAGGTGTTTGAAGGTGTGGTTCCCTATGGGGACATCATAGTTTAAAAGAGGATATCAATGTTTTGTTTTTACTTCAGTGGAACTTTAGGCAGAATAGACAAAGTACGCTTGAAACGTTTAACGGACTGCAATTGCTCAAACCCACGATATCAATGTTTGTTTCGTATTTCTTATACCTCTTCCAAATACTTAAAAAACATAATTACAGTGTAAACAAAATTACAATAAACGTATATTTCGCATTGTTTGTTTTAATTACTATCACTTCATGCAATAACAACCGTATTTGGATTAATAAGTATATTTTTTATACTTCCCCCAAAATGAGTTCATAGTAAATTACATTCGAAGCAAGTCCTGTGAATATTTAGAGATTGGTTATTAATAATTTTTAGGAGGTTAAAAGGATGGATTTGTGAAATTAAAAAAAAGAGTATGGGCTCTAATTTATTTAGTCATGAAAAACAACAATAAATGTAACATAATTCTTATTTTAGGTGTTAGCATAAAAATAAGAACATAAAAGGGTGAAGCTTACGCTCACCGGAGGTTTTTCCCCCTCAGTTCTTCAACTTTAAACATATTTTGTAGACTTCTATATGTATAGTTGAAATGAAAGAGAAAAATCGCCAGAATGGATGCATAAGTTGGATCAGCATCGAAATACGTGTGTATTTTGGCACTGATAACATATAATCTGAGAAAACTATTGTCTTCTTGTTTCGTCAGAGATATGCTGTGGATCTAATAAAACTTGCCATTAAAAATTAAAGAGTATAGCTGAGAGAATGGAAGCAATAATAATAAAAAAAATACTAAATATTTGAAAACCTCAGACCTTAAGCGAGTTGACAAGTATGTATATACTAACGTACAGTGAAAAATGTTTTTGTTTTTTTGACAAACTAAACAATACTGAGGATTTGACAAAAACAATACAAAAAATAAGAAATGTTTCAACAACGACACAAAAACAGACTTCAAAAGAACCGTATTTTAAGTTATGTGTTTTAATTAAGTGATCATTAACATTCTACATGGTCAATCAATTAGTGTGTTTTTTTTTCTTAAATGGACTGGGCGTGGTCTAGTGGTTAGCGTGCTGGACAGGGCCCACGATTCGCGTCCCGATTAAAAAAAAAAAAAGAATCGTGTATGGTGCTGTTTGGTGCCTTCATTGCGTTATAAGTGTGATGTTCAAGTCTCACTATTCGATTAGAGTAGCCCGAGAGTTAGTTATGGGTGTTAATGTGTAGCTGCTTTTCCGCTAGATTATCAGTTCACAATTAGAAACGGCTGACGCAAATAGCCCTTGTTGAGTTTTGCGCGAATATACGAAACAAAATAAACTAAATCTTATGAAACACTGGATTCTTCAGAATTATCAAGAATGCTCTCATAAGAAGAAACGACTAGAAAGCTAGTGTTTAAATTTCTACTAATGGGCTTGGCAGTGTAGTGCCAAATATGTTTTACAGAATATATTACACGTGGAGTAGAGTCTACAATACTTACTTTCTACGGTGTTCAGATCATGTAAGTCTGTCTTCCTGGCAAAAAAAGAAAAATGATAGTTGATGGGTCTTTATAATTTCTATGATGAAATCGCATGTCGCTTGGCAACGGATAATTGTTTGTTTGTTCATTTTCTAATTAAGCACAAAGCTACACAAT